ACATTAGCTCTGGAGCTAATAGCGTTAGCTCCAGAGCTAATATATATAGTGTTAGCTCTAGAGCTAATATATGTGATGTTAACTTTGAAGCTAATAGCTCTAGATCTAATATATATAGTGTTAGCTCTAGAGCTAACACAATATATATTAGCTCCAGAGCTAATATATATTGTGTTAGCTCTAGAGCTAATATATGTGATGTTCATTTTGAAGCTAATAGTGTTAGCTCTAGAGCTAATATATTTGACATTTATTCCGAAGCTATTCGCAATTTGACATTAGCTCTGGAGCTAATATATTTGACATTTGCTCCGAATTCTATTAGCAATTTGACATTAGCTCTGGAGCTAATAGCGTTAGCTTTAGAGCTAATATATATTGTGTTAGCTCTAGACCAAATATATTCTGCCTCTCTTCTGAAAAGCTTTCTCATTAAAAAACAAAACAACAACAAACAAAAAAAACCAGTGTGAAGTTCGCAATTAGTTGAGGTGTTCTTTGAGCTAGATTCACATGCAGATTGCCCTCTCACTCCTCACAATAGAGGTTCGTTAGGGTCTTGGGTAGTCTGACTCATAGATGGGTCACTGTGCTCTCATGAATGAAGTTCTTGATTGGAGTGAAACTGACTGGGTGTCAGGCCTAAATCTTCACTGTAGGTTTTTGAAAGTTAAAATCTGAGACCTCCTCCTCTGTTTATAAGTAACAAGTGCTATGTGTTGTCATCATTGTATGTTTCCATATGATGATGAAATTCGTTTTCTGCATTTAACCCATCACACCTGAGACACACCCAGGTGGAGCAGTGGGCAGCTATGTAAGCACCCGGGGAGCAAATAGGGATTACCGGTAGGTGTCTTGCTCAGAGACACCATATGTGTGCATGGCAAGGAGTCGAACCACGAATTTCTGGTCCCAAGTCTGCTACCCTACCTCTACCATCTCGGCCCCCCAAAGATGGTTTCTCTCTTTTTACATAGAAGACTTCCTTCACCCCCCTCTCAAGCCATATGTCCTCTCGGTCCAAAATGTGAACATTTTGGTCCTCAGATGACTGTCCCTTATCCTTGAGGTGCAGGTGAACTGCTGCGTGTACTCCTGAAGAGCTGGCTCCCCTTGAGGCATGCATCTGTGGAGAAGCTGTTTGGTTTCTCCAAAATAGAGATCTGGACATTCCTCGCTGCACTGAACTGCATACACCACACTGAACATCTTCAGCTACAGAATAGAAGACCATTTGTCTTTATTTTGAACCGAGCTAATATATATTACGTTAGCTCTAGAGCTTATATATATATATATATATATATATATATA